TTCAGTAAGGGCAAAGATCAGGTGTTAGTGATTTCGTTTAGGGAAAACCCAATAAACGACACAACACCTAATATTCTAATACTCGCCAAATCGTATCCCCGCCTCTATTCGAGCCTTAAACCCGACGTAACACGAGATTTCTGGTCTTCTAGTGACAGACTCGCCGTTTTCGCCTGCTTCAATATGAAGACTGTTGAGTTAATGAGAATTCCAGACACTGGATCCCGGGTAAGTGCAATATGTATTTCTCATTCTATTCATTTACTGTATATGGTATGGCTAGAAGTGTTATATCTAAATATTTTTAACAAAGATCATTCCCCTTGGCTTAATTTGTACGGAATCACACGTTATTCTCAAGACAATCTATTATTCTGGGTATTTTATATTGAGCGTAACAAGAGATATGGAGTTTGTCCTAGTTGCAAAAAATTCAACACAAATATTGCATGGTGCAAATCGTGCGACACATCTGTTCTTATATCTCAATTTGAAAATTGGACTAGCGGAGACAAGAAAATTGATAAATTTATACAGAATACGCAAAGAGATTCCTTTCACTACAAAAACTACTTAGAATATATTCCATTTGACCGTTTCAAAGATGTGAAATATCTAGCAAAAGGAGGATTCAGCACAGTGTATCAAGCCACTTGGCTAGATGGTTTTCGAACTTTTTATAAATCACATAAGAATCGATTAAAGCCAAAATCTGTTGTTTTAAAGACGTTTCCAAAAATTACAGGGAAGGATAAATATTGCCTTAAAGAGGTATTTTTGAATATTTCAGACTTATAACTGTTTATAATTTGAGGACTAATGATTTAACTGGTTTCATAACAATTTCAAAGATCATAGCTCATCAAAATGTCACAATTAGACGAAATGGACGAAGGAGTGACGCAATTCATCCGCATGGAATTACATGTCACCCGCATTCTATGGAATTTTTTATGATTTTTGATTATGCTAAGGAAGGGAATCTACGTCAATATTTACGAAATAACTACCACCGAATAAAATGGATTGACAAATTGAGAATACTAAAGGAAATAAGTAAACAATTATTTGCTGTTCATACCCATGGATTTCTGCATAATGATCTTCATAGTGGCAACGTTCTTTTTTCATCTCAGGGAAAAAGCTTTGTATTTGATTTTGGCTTAGCAGAGAAAATATCGGAAAATTCTAATGATTTAAACCAATCAAGGATACCGGGAGTAATTGCATATATGGCTCCAGAGCTATCTCTTGGCCAATCTCATAGTGAAGCATCTGATGTTTACGCATTAGGAATGATCATGTGGGAATTATCTTCTAATGAACCTGTATTTGTAGATAAAGACCAAAATACTTGTCTGCGATTATCAATATGTTGTGGATTACGTCCTGATATTGTGGAAGGAACTCCGCAGTGTTATATTGACTTATTAAAAAAAATGTTGGCATAACGATCCTAAAAAACGACCCACTGCGTTTAATGTAAGCTATCAATTAGGCGAATGGATTAACGCATTACAACAAAAACGTTCTAATCAAGTTGATATAGTAAATCAATTTACAACAGCTGATAATCTACCATCACGATTGCCTCGATTACCTCGTTTCGAAAATCAATACACTAGCAAAATTGTCCCTACTCTAAACAGTATTATGACCCCAGAAAGTATAGAAATGATTTTATTTTCTACAAAGGATTATCAAGCAAGGAGTTTTACCAAGTAGACCAGCTTCAGTATATAATAATACAGTATGATAATATGTGGTCTTCGTTTGAAAATACTTATGGGCATAGTTATTATTATGTTTTCAAAGGTCATTTACTAGATAAATACTTTTTTGTACAACTTTTGCTAAATATTTTTAATAGATTGCTAATCATAAACTCAATTTTTTGCAACCGAAATAATGTAGATAATGTAGTGATCTTTAAATATTTAACTCTAGTCAAAAATTCTCTATTGTATCTTTGTAATAAAATTGTTAATCAAGTTTGAGAAAACTAATTCATTATATAACAAACATATAAACGTCACATAAGTAATGGATAGCTGCTGAAATTTTGAATGAATTGAATTTTTTAAAATTTGAAGGTATTTATTATAATATATCGATCATCAATTTTGGAATCGAATCTAATTGAGCATAAAATATTTTTATTGCGAAAATACCAATAATTTTTGACTTCAAAATATCTCATTTACTTTATATTTCAGAGAAATAATTGACTTAAACCAGTCTTTAATAATATAACAATATTAGAATGATAATGCAGCAAATTAATGCAATTGATTCACTCAATGACTGTTACAAACTCATTATTAGAACTCTGTATAAAATGAAGTAAATTACTCTATAGAAACTTTTAACAATTTATTCTATAAGTGCAGTAAGTTCGTTGCCACTCGAAATCCCTTCTTCAAATTTTACTAGTATTCACAACTTAATGAGTAAACTAAAATCATGCCCATAAATTTTAAAGATAATCTAAAATATTACAAAATTTCCAAGCAGCAATAGTTACACTGTAAATGTACACATGTTTCATTTCTTGTTTAAAGCACACATTAATACGCTTATCAGATTCGAATTTACGTTTGCAAATAGTATTATTCGAAAATTCTGGCAAGCTATGCTGAACTCTACTCCAAGTTTAGTCATTTTAGTCTTTTCTACGTACAATGTAAAATCAGATATGTATACACTAAAATGACGATGATTGAATAAAAAAGTAAAAGTCTTTGTTTTATCATCATAGGATGGTGGTAGTTTTAAGGACCATTTAGTATCAATCCAATCTGTTAACTATATAAGTAGTTGGTTATTTATTAAATTATTAACTTAATTAATCTTTATGAAAAAAAAAAACTAATCGTAATCACCTCAAGTCTTAAACCAGAATTTAACCTGAAACTAACGACTTCATGCATTACTAGAGGAATGAATGTGATTCATTTTTTATAAACAGTTCGAAGAGTACAAAAAAACTTAAACCTATTATAATTCATTAAGCTCATTTAAATTA